CTAAACACATAAAGAAGAAAGCAATAATAAGAAGAATAAATACAGGAATTTGTGCAATACGATATGCATAATTGTATTTATACTTATTAGTAGAAAAAGCATGTGCACAAAGTTGTTTTACTATTGTTGAGAAGATTAATGGGAATACCATTCCACCAGCTCTTGCAGCAATACGTGTAACAGCAGAAAATTGTGCTAATTGTTGAACAGGAGCAAGTTCCATTACTAATTGACGAGAGGCAGTATAAACGACACTAAATGCTGGACCAATGAATATTATTGTTGGGATAATAATCCATTGAGAAAGTATTTTAGTACTTGAAACTTTCATTCCAGTAAGAACAAGACATCCCATTCCAAAGAATAATAAGATTAACATTAATTGTAATGCTCTTTTTGGTCCAAATTTATGTAAGAAAAATGCCCATGGAACACCACAAAGTAATGCAGTTACATTTAAAGCTAAAAATACAATGTCTGTTGCAGTTTTCTTCATTCCACACATTGTTGTTAATAAAACAACAAATAACCCATTTACAACACTTAATGCAGACAATGTACAACACCATGAAATAAACATAAATATACAATCCCTACTTTTAAAATAATTTTTAAATGAATCAATCAAATCTAATCCAATAACTTTTAATGTTTCTATAACAGAACGCTTAGCTGGTGGAGTACTTTTTTCTATACTGAAAACATATGGTAAGAAGACATATCCACCAAGGAAAAAGTTAAATAGAATCAATTGTCTTAATGGTCCAAAGTCAGGTTCTGCATGTGTAATTTGTAATTGATTAACATTTGAGTAATTTCCCCAAACAAGAGAACAACAAAATGAAACACCAATAGCAAGAATTGCACCAGTGAAAGAAACTGCACCTCCAACACTTTGTGCTAATGTTCTATTTTTTTGATCCATAATATATGGAATTTGACAATCATAGAACAAACGTACTAACTCAAAAGATGTTCTTGCAATACAAAACAATATACAAAGTAACCAAAAATGATAATAAAAGATACCAGCAATCAAAAAACATGTATAATATGTAATTGCACAAATTACTACAGCACCTTTACGAAATGAATAATAATCACTAAGACCTCCTACAAAAGGAGAAGCAACCATAGCAATACAATTAGCAACAGCATTACAAACAGTTGTCATTTGAACACCAGTTGAATTTTCATAACCTGCATATATAGATAATAATTGTAATGATGGACCAACAGTTACATTAACAATACAGTTATAAAAATGATAACTAATTTCAAAGAAATACCATAATATAACATTCCAAACATTAGTTGATTGTGCTTCACT